TATTGAGTGTTTTGGGTTTCTTTTAAATGAGGTTTTGGGGTTGGAGCTTGTTTTAAGAAATTGATGGCTGTTTTGTAATTTATAAGAAGTTAAAAACTTCTTTGTTATGTTGTAAATGGGCTTTGAGTGTGTTTCTAAAGTCTATTTCATATATGATTTTTTAAATAATTTTGGTCCCTATATTAGGTATAATAGTGAATCCCCCCCCTCTTTTTTTTTCTTTTTTTTTTTTGTTATGTAGTTTTGGAGTCGGGCTTGTTTTAAGAAATCAGTGGCAGTTTTGTAATGTAAAAGAAGTTAAAAAGCTCTTTATTATGTTCTAAATGGGGTTTGGATGTGTTTCTAAAGTCCATTTATATATTATGTTTTTTATAATTTGGGCCCTACAGAATCTCCCTTATTTTATTATTATTTAACATGCTTTATTTTTTATTTATTTGCTAGCTACGTGTAAAATCATATATATAAAGCAAAAGGCAGAGAATGGTAAAACATTCAAAATACCAGAAAATATTTTTGGTTAAGGCAAACATTAAAAATTGAAATTATTGATTAAATGAGGATAAGATAATAACTTCACACTTTTTCATATTAAAAAAAATTAAAATTAAAAAAAAAGAAAAGAAGAGATAATGGATTCTATTTTTATGGAACACAACTACTCATTATCTTTTTTAATTCTAAAATAAATTTCATTAAAAAAAAATTAAAAAAAATTTTAAAAAAAAATTAAAAAAAAACCTCTTTCGCACCTGCGAAGAAGCTTAGTGTACTCTATAAAAATAGTCTATCTGTGGCCGGTAGTTATTAGTTAATATAGCTTCTAGAAGTCTTGTGCCATATTCCATTATTTTAATAGGTGGACGCCTAATTTGCCAATTGGTTAAGGAAGATGAAGAAAGTCAATAAATTATTTACAGGAAAAGTGGTGCTACATGAGAATGAAGTGACACATAGATTAGCTTGTTGAGCATTATTTATTAGTGATACATTCAAATGGTTTGAGGAGCCTCCTGATCTTATTTATGACTTTTTGTTTGTTGATGCTTGTAATCGTGGTCAACTTTTTAAGTCCCTCTTTCCTCTTCCCTCTTCCCCCTTCTATGTGATTAATAAAGTTTCCCTCGTAAAGTCGAGGTTGCTAAAAAGAAAAACAGTTGAAACCGAAACTTATAATGAAACTTTGACTGCAATCTTATGTCTGCAAAATTACTAAAAGTGAGAATAACAAATAACAAACAAAAAGGGTTGCTAGCCGTCGGCCCGGCCCGTTCCCATCACCCTCCTATATTGCCCATCTATTTTTGTATTTATTTGGATTTGTTGGAGCATAATTGAGTATGATGAGCAGTGTTTTAAGTGTGAATGGAAATTACTCTTTAAACAAACATCTTCACAATTAATATATAACTAAAACGGGAAACTAAGTCTTAATTTCGTTGGACAAGGGACATCTTGTCATGACTCCATAGATGAGAAGAAAGCTACTTTTGTACAAGAAAGACAAATCAATTACGATAAGCATTAGATATATTAAGTTGAGAGCAGATAAGTTCATGGCGTGGTGAAAATGAAGTCTGCTCCAATCCATGCCATACATATGATATGAGGCTAACTATTCCCATGTATAAGCTGATCAGAATTCCACCTTAAAACATGATTATACTTGATCAATGTGTGGAAAGTTTCTCAATAAAACCTATTTGTCAACCTTGAATAGATCACTAGGGGTTAAATTTTCTAGTGTGAAAATTAACTGTGATATTCTGGGTTCTGGCACATTTGTGTGCCTAGATGGCATTAGATTAGAAGAGGTAATTTAGTGCTTTGGAAGGCACGACTTTGCAGTTAACTCGTGTGTTAAATAAAGAACCCAATTCATCGTACATGTTAAGCTGGGGAAGATGCATAACAATATCAACATTTCACAGAGTTCTGCCTGCCCTGATCTGATCAGCTGGCTTTTGAACGTTCACAAATTAATTTTCATGTAGTTGTGCCTACCAAATTGGCTTCCAAACTTGGGTGTCAGCGGGCGGACTCACTGTCCTAATCAACTGGCTTAATCCACATTTACATCCAAATAAGGAGGGGCATGGGAAGAAGAAAATAAATAAATAAATAAAAAATCATTGAATGGCAATATCCCTTTCATCGTTAAGAATATAATATTCCGGTGATCATTTTCCTTCTTGTTAATGACGTCGTGCCTATCTTCTTCTTTCTCAGAAGACAGGTGTTCTGCACGCCAGGTAAAGATGAGGTGGTGCATGATGGCTCATCCTTGTACATTGTATTGTCACTGCTTTCTAGATAGAGAATATGGACATGGGTAACACATACAGGACTGTTGACCATGCCTGCAAACCTCACAAGCCAATTTGCAATTGGCAGCAACTTACTTTGATTAGCTTTAAAATAGTAGAGAGAAAAAAGGGGACAATATGGCTTAAATCTATTCGTCCACTCACCAGGCAGGAGCAAAACTACTAGCTGCATATGCCTAGATTTTACACTCATGACATAGTCACCTTATAAAAAACTGCCGGCTAGGGTCAGGCAAGATCCAGATTGAATCAATTTTACTCTAAAATACCGACCAAACTTGTTAGAATAAAATGATTTGATTCAGTTCGGTTGTAATAAAAAAACGTTGATGAAATCTAATCAAATTCATAACCTCTCTGGTTTAGTTTAGGGTGATTTACAAAAACTCAAAACCACAACTGAACTAAATCATTATAGTCTCGTTTAGTTTTAAACTATTTGACTTTTTCTGTAGAACTGAATCATTACAGTCTGATTAAGTTTCGGCCGAATTGATCCCACCCCTACTATTAGGTATATGAAACTATTGTCATTTCATTTTTCTAACAAGTAGTATACCTTGTATTAATCCTGCTTTACACGAAAAATATGAATAGAGAGAATATTCATTCATATTATCGTACAATGAATATTCATTCATATTGTAGTAAAATTAGATATCTTATAAAAATGATGGTCCCCTATATATATATATATATATATATATTTGAAATATTAGGTTATCCTTAGGCTTAGAAATACACATGCAGGATCTATGGATACTCCATGTGATCAACTTCAATCATCAGTCAAAGCTACTAGTTAACCGAATGGACCAATCACCAACTTCACAACTTGACGTTAAACTAAATTTGCATTGGGTTTTGGGTTTTGCATGGCTTGTTTGTTGCCAATATGTTTCCAAAAGGATAACAACAATAAGATGCTTCTAGCTAGCTGGCCTCCTCTTTAAACATGGCCTCCCATGGCCTCCTTGGTTTTATAATATCCAAGTATTGCTAATCTCCTATTTGTTGTCATTTGTTTCTAACCTAACCTAGCTTTCTGGCATCCAAGTGGCTAATTAGAATGTATGTAATAAGCAACACCAGTTTCCAGACAGACACATACACCACTGATTAAAAATTAGCGTTGCATAATTGCATTGGGAGTTGACCTGCATGTTGATGATATATACAGTTCTTTTCATATACGGATGTTTGCACGTTATTACCGTGCGGACGCCATTGTAAAGAGAGAAAAACAATGAGACGTAATAGAAAATAATCATTGTTTATGCAGAATAAACCAGACATACAAGGCCAAGTGGTTCCTAGAGTAATATCGATTCAATACTAAGCAACAAAATCAACTGACCGAATATACAATAGAACATTAGAGAATAGAAAATTAGAGAATACAGGTCGGCATGTCAGTTAAAATTGGACTCGGTAAATGTCAGACGGTTTCCTATATGACAAATTGAGTTTACACAATATTCACAACGATTCAGATAAGGGTCTGACTGGCTGTGACCGTGACTGCGACTGTGATATGGTCTACAAATTTTAAATAGGCCAACTTGCAGGTTGTTGTTTTGTTTTTGTTTTTTCCAATTTCGTCCTTGTAGCTTCATTCCGTTTGCACCGTTAGTCCAATCGTCAACTTTTTTCATTTCAATGTTTTTTTTATTGGCATGCTCACATCTTAGAGTATTCATAATGTGCTCCTAAATCACCTCATTAGACAAATTTTATGGATGAATAGTAAAAATACAACTCTAACCACGCTCCCTATCCACCTCCTAAAATAGGAAGTCCTCTAGGAGCTCCTAAATATGAGGAGACAGAAATGACTCCTAGTGACTCCCTATAATTTAATACTGCTTTATTTAATGAGTATTTCAAATCTTTATTTAATACTAACTATTTTTTTAAAAAATATAGATGGACCAATCAAAAAAGAGTTATAGCATTTATGACTCTCCAAATTAGGTACGGTTGAAGTTGAATTTTTTTAGAGAGCTCTTAAAATAGCTTTCTTATATTTTTAGCTAAATTTTAACTAAGAAATAGAGAAGAGTTTAATTGAATTACTGCTCAAGTTTTGTGGACCATCCAATTTTAGTAGAAGGTTGTGGGCTAGAGGCAATGTGCCCAGATCAAATAGGGTTCCTCATGTTTCCATTAGAAATTTGAACCAGGCACCCTACGTTAGGGATAGAGAAAAGGAGAGCTCCTAATTTGTTTAACAAGAAAAGCTGCTTCTCTTTTGTACCAAGTGTTAAACCGATTTTATTAACTTGGTAAAGTGAACTAGTTTTGACAGAAGACTAAAATGGAATGAAGTATTTTCTTTCTGTCTTCTCGTGAAGGATTTTTTTTTTTTTTTTTCTGTTGAAAGACAAACTCGTCAGTCTAGCTTTCAAGTTTAATGAGACTTTTCTTTGAGAAACAAAACAATAAATGGTTCCCTAAACATACTTCTGGCATGGAAATTCAAGAACAGAGAGATAGACTTTCCTCCTGTTTTTTTATATTTCTAAACAAGGCAACTTCTAACTTCGACCCTATTTTCTTATTCAGCTGCCAATAGGAATGAAGTCCACAGTTTGATTTTTGAATCAAAGACATCAACATCATAATCAGAAATGGCTTAGAAGAAGAGTCAGAACTCTTGTGAGATTCTAGATGTAACTTGTACGCAGGCTGCAGCCCTTGATTTATTTGTCTTAATTGGTGATAGCAATTCAAAAGAAAGTAACAACATATTTTCCAGTAAGATCCAACAACATCAAATCAACATGAAGGACTAGTCAAGTTCCAAAGTTCTAGAATGGTAGAAAATATGAAAAAACGTGTGGGGGTAAGAAGGCAGGACCCAGGTCATTGTAGGGTCTTATGTAGAAGCCTTTCAAAGTTGCAAAAGTTGACCCTCCAAAATCTCAGTACTTCTTTTGGGCAAGAAATTTTCAGCAAAGCCAAATTATTGGAGAAGTCGAGAGGCATTTCATGTAGAAAATCAACATAGATGACCATCAAAAGACAAGATAAAAGAAGCTTCCAAATTTGATAGACTAATGAATTTATTACCTAACAGCAAAGAGAACATGAAAGAAAAGAAAAATACAAATAGAAATTTTGCAAAAGACTTCCATACCCACCTACAAAAATTTCTCAATGGTAGCAGTCAATGTGGTTTTAGGCACAGCACCAATTATTGCGTCCTTTTTCTCACCGTTGATGAAAATCATGATGGTTGGGACACTTCGAATTCCATATTGGGTTGCAATTGACGGAGTATCATCCGTGCTTAACTTAAAGCACTTAAGCTTCCCAGCATACTCCTTTGCTAGTTCACCTACTACTGGATGGATCGTGCGGCAAGGCCCACACCATGGAGCCCAAAACTCAACCAATACAGGGCCATCAGCTTTGAGGACCAGTGAGTTCCATGTTCTATCCGTAACTGTGGGAACTGTAGTTAGAAAGCAAAAGGGTAAGTACATTCGCCTGCATTTAACAAAAAGAATCAATGCTAAAATGTGATCTTAATACAAAAAGATGATATGCTGGTAACCTGATACAAGCAAACAATCAGACAATGTTCTTTTTTCTAAGTTTCAGAAAATGTCCAACTTTTACTCAATCAGTACTCTCTATCAACCTGGTCTTATGCACTAAAATACTGGAGCACTATCTGAGCCAGCACTCTTATATATGATCACATATACATGCAGAACAAATGCAAAATACAGCTCCATTTAAAAACTTGTAACATGCAATAATGAGAGATGGTGAATGGTAGGTCCAATCGTTTGATGGCACATGAATGGAACTGCCAAACAACACCAGGTGAAGATATTACAGTGAAGTGTGCTTATCTATCGCATTGACAATAACAGTGTATGCACCAAGAAAAACAATTGATTCCAAAACTTTTACTGAATTACAGTGTATGCATAATATATAGATTTGACATTTCATGTCCATTATAGTTGACTATACTGAATAAGAACAAAATTTCATTTGCAGGCAGATGAGAATAAACTTGAGGCCTTTCTTTCGCTTCATCTTTTTTACTTTATACAAACATCAAGAAATCATCTGTGACAAACCAGACATTGATATATTTTATCTGAAGCCATTGTGGGAGAAAATAAAGACCTGAAAAAGTTAATTTGAGTTCTCTGACTTTCTACCATGGATAAGGTGAAGCTGATATTGAAGTACACATTCAATTCCCACATCTAGTGGTACTGTGACATAAGAGATGTGAGATGTTAAGAAATGAGGAAATGAAATTTGATGGAGAAAGGGTCATCACAAAATTGGATATGTAACCAAATGGCTTCGAACTCATACAGGTAAGATAACCACAAAACATTGTATTCTTACCTCATGCCTATTTCATTTCCTTTGATATGTCTCTTCAAACCTGAAAAGTATGATTTTTCACCACAACTTCCAGATGGCATGCTAAATTTGGAGTTTAGGCATTGCGGTGGATAACTTGTTGTCAGATTGCAGTGTTGAAATTAATTGGAAGTCATTGATTTCAAAAGAGAAAAATTGTTTGACAAAGGAAGCTTCCAATTTGATAGGACAATGGCAACACAAATTAGAAGTAGGTTTCATCTGGAAACTCAAAAACAATTGCATCCAATATTACACACACCCACACAATATATGTTTACTAAATTGATGTGTACATTAAATCTTTTCCCATGTTATAATCTTTTTAAAGAAATTTTCTTTGGTGATTCAATTAGATTTTCATTTTCACACACAAACACACAATATATGTTTATAATTTTCTTTAAAAAAATAAATAAATTCTCAATTAGGAATGTAGCATAATTTGAGGGTTAGTTTGATGGGTTACATAGATTCTAACCTAAAAAAGTTACTACTAATGCTTCCTTGAAACTGGCCATGAAGGAAATTTATAGATTGTAAAATGGAAACAGTCAATTTTTTTTTTTTTAATGTGAATGTGGGTTTGCACTCACTACTACGTATTTTAGGGACAGTCTATCTGCCAATACTTTCAATTCTTGGGAGTCGTAAGCAGTACATTCAAATGCTTCAAACTCTCAATTATTATGGTTCCCAGAGTTCTAATGCTCTCTATGTTCCTAATTCAATACCTGCACGAAGGATCATCCCCATTACGGATTATTTTGTAAAGCAAACAGGATTAATATAATTTAGATCCATACTTTATCTCAAACGTCATCATCTTATTAATATGGTTATCGTAGTGATGAAAAATACGTGCATTCACCTCTTCATCATTAATCAAATCATGGCCATCTTAATGATGAAGAATGGTTCCATGAAGCGAAGTGGGCCTCAAAAGTTCCATAGGGCATTCTACCAACACACCTATATTTCTGTCATGGACAACTAGAGCACTACATTTTCTAGAAAAGTGACCACTCCAGCCCACCCTAACCATTCATACAAACCCAAGGCAAGGTAAGTTGGTTTGGTCTGTAGCCAGCCCACCGAACCCTGAATGATCGACTTGGGCTGGTCTTTGAAGCATTAACATCACGAGGTTGTCCCTGCCTCAGCCTATTACCAAGCATTGTAACAAATTTAACGTTATTTCCATTATGAACTAAGACAGAGTGTCAAATATTAGAGGATGAACATGAAGTTTGGGTTCAAGAATTGAATGGGAGTTGCATAGTACACTAGAACGCGTATGGTTATGTGCAAATTTCCTATCTATACTCTGCGTTCCTCTACAAACAGCAATAAAACTTATGACTCTCGAACTAACGAAATCCTTCAGTCATAATCTTTGTTTTAGACACTTGCCCATCAAATTTCTAGCGTGGCTCCTCTTTATAGTCAGAAATAAATAAGGGTGATAATATTGAAGATGATCAGAATTTATGATATGAAATAAGGGGGCTAGTCTTGTTTCGGCATCTCTAACCAACAACAACACCAAAAAAAGCAGTTCATACTTGTTGTCGGGGATACTTAATTAAACTGTTAATGAAACACAATCCCATGTACCAGTACTCATCAATGGAGCAAAGATGCAGCCCATCAAGCTAATACGAAACTATAAAAACAATCTCAATTCGCATAGCTATTTAGGCAAAAAATTGAATACACCCAACTACAGAGTTAACGAGATATCCACTGGTAAATGATCAAAACTTGGTTCAAAATCAAACAAAACTTTTCTTTCTTGTTTCTATTGTGCTACATTACTTCCTCAACACCAAAATAGAACATCAACAAAACTAAATTCTTAGATTAAAAAAAGGGGGTAAGAGAAACCAAACTACAAGAACCAAATAACGAGAAAAAGAATCAATTTTTATGCGAAAATTTAAAATTAGAAGACAAAAGAAAAAACATACCATCGAGAGTGGTATCCTGAGCTTGAGAGACAATCCCGGCAGTTGATGGAAAAGGCCTGGCTTTTGGAAAATTGGAGGAAGCGGGCGACGGTTTGGGAAGCGAGTGAACTCTCAAGCCCCTGAATTCCGGCAACGCACCCAGTCTCCGGCGAACAGAGATGGAAAGAGACGGCCCTCACGAACACC